GTTTAATACTGTTTATGTCATGGAACACTACTTCTCATTATATAGACGTATACATTTAGATAACAATCTAATTACTTGCCATAATTGTACAATAACAAGCATTAATGTCACTATTGATTAATAAGTCAATCATTATAATTATATAAATAACAGTTATAAAATAAAATACTATTAATTAATGAATATGTGAACTTTAAATGGTATTAAACACGCATTATAAAGAAGCTGCAATTCAAACGATTTGGCAGCAACTTATTAAAACTATTGAAATGCTGGTTATAGGGAGGCGTTAACTAGCAAAACAATTATATAAAGACTCGTCCACTTTTTATAGAAATGAAAAAATGGGATTTAAAGTTCTAGTTTTCTGCATCAACCGGGATAATTAAGGCGAGCATATCTTATGCCGTGTGAGATAGGTGAGGGAATTTTGAATAGTGTTTCTGGTTGTCTTATTCCACAATTGACTGTCTAATCTGGTATGCGAAATGAAATGAAATGGGCTTAATGAAGAAAGGTCTATAGAAGAACATAAAATTAAAGTAATAAAAAACAAATGACAATTTACAACATTGTAGTTTCTATTAGAGACCATTGCCACGAGAGCGAGATTCATGAGAGCCAATGTCAATGAATTATATTCTTCAACGCGTTCAGAGCTTTAACTGTAAATTCGTACAAATTTATCAACGCTGTTGACAAGTTTTTCGAGACGCGAGTTACAATCAAGAGACCGTTTAAGCAGCAAGATACCAATTTAAATACTATTATTGTCACAGCGTGTTCAAAACTGATTTTTATCATAATCAGTGATGCTTCTATTTGTTCTTTGATTTGATAGTAATGAACCTGTCAGAGTAAAACGTGAGCCATGTATATTTTTGTCGCTGTTGCTTTTAAATCAAATCTATTTACCTTGGACAATTTAAAGATAATGATTTATCCTTTACCGTATGAGGTAGATTTGAAATATATCCTGAAATGTATGGAAGTCAAATCAGATATTTTATTTCCAAATAAGATCACCCAACCTTAAAATTTGTTCTATACAAATCAAAACCTTTACTTAGTCGATGTTCAGTAAGCCCAACTATTCGCTCAATGAATAGAAAGGTAATATATTTTGATCTTGCAAATACTGGATAAAAATGGTTTGACTATACAAACACCGCACCTCCCTCTATAAAATATATATACATACATGGCTGGGTTCTAGTCTATTCTCGGTCATTGATTCAATAACTATTTACACATAGATTTCAACACGTCAAATAGTGTTCAGGGGGTCTAATTTATGGTCTATTCTTGTCTATATTATTTGTGTTCAAAATTGAAAAAAAAACCTTCATACTATGAAAAGACATTTCAATTATTTCATCTACAAAGAATGTTTGGTATGTGAGTACTGATGGAACGATATTTGAAACTGGGAATGATTAAAAGTTATTTTTTAAAAAAAACCAAAAAAACAATAATATGTGGACTAATAAGTAGTAAATATTAGGGGTGGTGTTTTGAACCGTCCACCATTTTATACTTTGGGCATTTGGGAGCTAACTGAATGGCTGTATAAATTCATAAATTCATTCTGCACACCGAGATCTATCTACTTTGAGAAGGGCCGACATATTGAAAAAATAGTATTACTGATCAAATACGCGGACACAAACGCTGAATAAACATTTTCAATTTCATTACATGGAAATGGAAGCGAAATAAATACTTCTCAAAACTTTCGATGTATACTTAAGTGTTTTCGAAATTGTCGAAATGGGACATAAAATGTCGGTCAACTAGCTTCGTGTCTGATCTCGAGCGGAGCTAATTGTAGACAAACAGCATAAGTTTCGTATGGTATATAAATACATGTAGTGATCTCCGGTTCTATATATAGTCAATCAGTTGTCTCATAAACTATTAATCGACCTAACACAATCACTAACTTTTCAATCAAACTCGTCTTTTAGATGAAACGATTAATTCCTCAATAATTTATCTCCAACGATATCAATCACCACTTGGAACGATTATTTTGTATGATTTTAATCGATTTTTTTACGCTACATTACGTGCATTTAAGCTTGAATTAATATATTCTTATCATAATTTACAATCATAACAAACGATTACTAAGTTCCCCAGCCGTTATTAACGTGAACAAATGTTAAGCAAGTAACCTTAATTGTTATTTACGTAACATGCACTAAGTCACCCCAATATCTCGAATTTTCACCAAAATACAATAATCTATTGTCCTTTTCGTTTTTTTTTAAAATATAATCTGCTTGGATCAAGCTGCAAAAGATGTAAACGACAGCAGTCGTTCATCTTTCTCGCTTGAAGTAAAAAACACAGTACTATGGTTTAAGTCACCAATTGTGTGTCAATCAAATATATACGAACTATATGATATATAAAACCAATAGATCTTTTATATTTATAATACTTTACACCTATACTTGTTTGATATTCGATTCTTTACATATCCAATATGTATAAAATAACCACCGCTTGAAATCCTAGGTTCTTACATTGAATAGAAAACCGATCACCTTTCATCGACCCTTTTCAAATTCTAATCTTTTTACCAGATTAAACTAGATCTAAGACTTTGCATAAATACTCTTCTATTATTTGAAATTTTCCTTCACTTCAAGATCGATTTTAGTGTTTGTCACTTGTGTATGGTGGGTATAGTGGTTTGAGCTTATACGTGTTTATTGCAGTCGCCATGCAATTAGAACGATGTGTAAACCTTTAAATTCATATACATCATTAAATACATTGGATAAGTGCAATCCTATTTCAAGAGACTATATGACTTCGATGATCATGCATCCATGATATTGGGTGAAACATTTGTTGCAATTTAGGGTTTTGTCTTGGACCAATTTGAGTTGAATGCAACAACATCGGTACAGAGTTTTTATTGAAAGAAAAAATACCTTCCAATCCATATGTTAAAATCCCTGAGCTTCCCCGTCTGAATCCTTGCAAACTACTGAAATTTGGGTCTCTAAAGGAATACTGGGTCAAAAATGATTCATGGTTCAATTCGATTCAGTATTTTCAAAGATTTAAAAATGTGTCAACATTCGGCATCCCACTGCAGACGATATATAGAATATGGTCAACAGAAGCCAGCGCCACCTATGAGTTTCGCTAAAATCTTTTGATGGTCCTCTTTTTAATCCGGCTGAATTCATGTCGGGAGCTTATCTACTCTGGATTTTTAGATATTGTTTTCTTAATTAAATGTTAAATAATGAATTTGAGTACAATTTAGCGTGCATAATTTTGATATTCTCTGACTTTAACCCTTTATAAAATTTCATACATTCGATTGTCAGTGTTGTCCTTTAGTTGAGACACATGCGACCTATAAATTGTAAAGTTAAGATAATCATTATCACTAATAAGTTTAACCCAACCCCTTCTCAATTATTTACATTTTATATTATGTCAAAATCTCCTATCTCTAGTCTTGTGAACAAAATTGATGGTCTATATCGAAATTAATCGATTAACCGGAAATTTGCGTCGTCTTTGTCTTGGGTTCCTATTCACAACCAAAAACTATTTTCTTTATTCTTGATGCAATGACATCATTTCGCTTGAGTTAGTTTTCTAATGGGGTTTCTTTCATTAACTATCTCAGAATAGTATTCTAGAACAAAGCACATATTTTCAAGTTTTCCACGTGACATGACGACATTGTACAGACAATATGGAAGATTGTTGCTAATCTGGTCATTACTGAAAGTCGAAAGTAGTGCTAAACACTGCAAGAAAATAAAATGTTGAAAATTACCATAACAGGGAAATTTACAGTTCAATTATGTCTTCTAATTTCAACATAGAATTTTATTATATTATGTTGAAGCTATTTGAAAAGTATATTTGCCTCCATAGGAGGCCTTTACAAGATTCATATTGCCACATTCTTTATTTATATATTTTACATAGCTGGAATGTCTATCTGTAAAATAGTGAATAAAGATTTAGAAGGCTACATGTATTTTGCAAAGTTTACGTATAATAATAAGAAAAGTGAATGTGCTACAACCCCTACTGTTTTAAACATCACTGTCAATATGCGCCATTATTTAAGGACTCGTAAACATCGTTTCTTTCGCTTAGAATTACAACATAATTACTTTAACAGCATTGAAAAATATTGACATCTATTTAATGGAATTCGAATTGGACCGAAAGGGGAGCTGTACATCACTGTCATTTATGTACATTGACAGGCAAGTGATACAAACTGGTCGATTTACCTATATTTGAGTTGAAATAGAATCTGTACTAAACATAGACCTACTAGCTCTGACGATTATGGCTGTAAATGGGAAACCTGGATTACGAAAGACTGGAATCTGATGAACATGCCTTAACGATTTCGATATGAAAAACTTCAAGATCGAAATTAATTACAAAGAAGGAGTAGTATTGCGATTTGGTCACCTCGAGAAAAGCGATGTAAGATTAAATATTATATGAGGTGATGATTACTGAAAGCTTCGTGATAAACTTGAAACTGACATAGAACATAAAACATACGCATTTATTATTCACTGTCCAAACGTCAGTCATTCGATAATCAAATAGGTTAGGTATTATTGCGATGTAGCATTTGATTGTACCAGTATCAAAGGGAAAACATAGGATAGGGAAGGAATGGTGCTTAACGACTCGGCAATACAATGCTCCGGTGAACTATGACCCGGATAGCGATGTTTCCGCCTACTCTTCAAAGAATTCCAACTGTCAAGGATTATTTTACGTGCACTCTAATGTGCACACGGGCGGACCTCGGGTTTTTGTCCCATCCGAACGACTAGGTAACATCCTCCTTGTTAGTCTCATCAAAGCTATCATTGACATGTGTAAACCGGGCTTGAAAAATCAGTTTAAAACCCGGTACATTCTGGTCGAGAGCCCAGTACTCTTACTGCTCGACTCGGCGGGCCCATATATAACAATTAAAACTGACTTACCGTAGGTTCTAATTTTCCAACTCTTTGTGTCATAGGGTCCGTATTTACTACTTCCACTCGGCATTCTTCGTCACGTCCACCTTTCACAAATACTAAATCCGGACGTTCTAAAAACACTGAACGTCCAACATTAACTGTAATATCCCGCTTATCCAGTAACAAACTCCCGTACACGGGCACAAATATCAAAAGGAACACACGTATAATATTCCGAGATGCCATGTCCAAGATGGTGACTTCTCTGTCAGTGATATATCCGTGATAAGTTTCTTTGCCCTTCAGATCATAGTTAACTGGAAAGTAAGATAGCGTGCATCAATACAGTTAAATTACAACTTTTCACCCTGAATGACTTAATAGAAAATGGGAGTATGGAAGGTTAGTCGTAAGTAGGTCTCTAAAGCACGTAAACTTCCAACATTCTATCATATCTTGAGATCCGGACAGAAGGGGCAACAACTAAGAATATCCCTATCCGTACTCGAATGTCATTTAGCTTCATAATTCCCTGCTAAACAATGGTTTTAGAATAATGATGTCCCTAGTATACGGTATAATCCTTTCACACTGCCCCCGTTGATCCTTAAGCCGAAGAAGAAGCTGATACTTCAAGCAAACACAAGTATAATTGGCGCTAATATGATTGAGATTCTGTTGTTGACATTATAATAAAAATCTTTACAAATACGCGTTTCTAATTTCACCATTTCACACACTGCGAAGCTAAGCCAACGAACACGTGTTCTGGCAAAATATGCTAAAACGACGTATTTTTCAAATTATGCTTATCGCATATTATAATAATATTATTAAATAGCCTAATTATTTTATTGGAAGCTCTAATTACGTATATCATATGTTTCAAATTTCCGTGTAACACATTGGAACATCAAGAATTAATTATTTTCCTTAACTTTATTAAAACATTATTGAATTAATAAAAAAAAATTAACTTAAACGTTTAATTTTCCAATTATGTTTTATTATTAACTCAATCAAATGATTTATTTATAATGTCATACATTCTGTATATAGCCAGTCTGTATGAACCAATCTTCGCCGACATTTATTATAAAGAGTAATTTTGGAACTGTTTATTTTCAATTTCGTGTCATTGTGACGTTTGTGAGGCAAGTCTTGTGGGAACGTAATGAGTATAATGCAGTAACCCAACTGTAAAGTCGACAAGTTATTGTGTTAACAGAGGGACTAAAATCATTATTACATTGATTCTAGATTTTGTTAATTGATTTGCTCATTATAGTATCAGATTTATGGTATCAAATACTATCATAATCGTAAAATTATGCATGTTTTATACTGAGGTTATTGCATTCAGATTTTTGGTTGTGTTAGCCGACCATTTATATAAACATGCATCCAGATTGTTCTTTGTTGAGCATGTTTACGTTCTTCTTATGGAACACAAAGAATAAAAATCCATCGGATTACCAAACAACCTTTATGTAAGCTACAGTATTCACAAAAATATACTAATATTGCTTATGGATTAAAGTGTGGATAAATAAGCTTTATTACTCGTTCAAACATATCTAGGCATATTTCAATTTTAAAACCGAAAATATTCAACACGCCTTATTTCCTATAAATGACAGTTACATTGTTTAGAAATGTTGAAATTCACGATTCAAGAATAAGAATCGTAATTGTGAAAACACAACCCAGAAACTGATGTAAAACGTATTCGTTAAGCAATTCATATATGCTCTAATATCTTCCAAGTTTATTACGTTAAGTGAAAAAAATAATGATGCATTTTGGCGATTATGAACCTCTTGTCATCAAGGCAATAATTTCTCGAAATATACGAATTACATAAGCAACTTACCCCCGAAGTTTGTATGATGTAGTAGATTACTATATCAATCCATTGCATTATGTCACTCATGCAGTCTTATCTCAAATTCATTGAAAAATGAAGAACTGGCTGTGAAACTACGCTACACACACAAGCACACACACACACGGTGCATAACGTACACAACCGAATGTGTAATATAAATCGATGGTTAAAATGGAATCACAAGCTAATAATTGCCAGAGAAAATATCGTCCATTGATCTTAAATCTCTAACACGTTTTCAACCCAATGCTACAACGTTTACAAATATCAATCACGTCATGAGGGAAAGCTGCGTAACTACTCATAAATGATTAAAAGACTTACCTTAAATTAAACGCAGGTATGGAGTATTTTCCCGTCCCAAATGAATAACACTTTAACCACCAAATATCCCTGATAAAGAAATCGTCAAAGGCGCAGTATAGAGCATGTGTAAGGTATTTGGCCCATGCTATCTGCATTGAGCCGACAAATAGCCCCGAAGCCTCTTTTAGCCGAACGAGCGAAGACTATTGAATTAACTAAAAGGTGTTGAGCTATTTCTTCGCTGGGTATGATTCGTTGGTTACTTCAATACATGGGACGGTCTACTTAACAAAAGACTTCACGTTTGCTGTATTTTTCTAGTGGCTTTAGCCTTTACATTATAAGGGACATACTAGGTAACAAAGCTTTGTGTCGTACTAAAGAGTTATTTTTGCGCTAACTTTGCTGGGATTAAGTTTTATTGAACACTTCACACCATTGGCCGATATGGTCATATAAATGGCCGCGCTAAGTATAGGAAGGTAAATAACCGAGGTGTATAACGCTAATAGATTGTGCAATAATATTGAAATATAAATATTATAAACCACGGAACTTAACATATTAACAAGCGGTCAACAACATGATAGAAACATAAACCACTAGGGGTTGCCTTTCTTTATATCGTAAAAATGTCTTTATTCAACTTCCCGTTGGTTCTTCACATATAAAAGTAATTTTATGTTTGGGGTGATAAGATCACCATATATAACGGTATTCCCATTATAATGACGTCTATAAATTATTCTACGATAATTTTTTCAACTCTCGGTGAATGTTAGTAGACTAATCTTTTAAACTCCGTTATAAATCACGCTATTATATATTAGTTTATTTATACATAGACATAATCAAGATCGCATACAGATATATTGTAAATGTTATGTCAGCCTTGATCTCGGTAATGAATGTCATTATTTATCAAAAATATTTTTTCTACTTTATTTTTCCCGAACAACACAGAAATTTCAGATAACCCGCAGATTTGTTAGAATGGGTCGTAAGATAACCATAGGGAAGGCGGGGAATCCAATGTGGTCCCTGTTAGCTTTATGGAATATACCTTTGTTAGCTTAGAAAGGCAAAAATAGGATGCTCGTGGAACATTAAAGCTCATTTAATTCCTCTTTAAAAAACAAAATACAATAACAAAGCAAACAACAGATACTGAAATCTGGCCGAATATGAAGCATATGACCCATGTAAAGTGTTTAAACACAACAGTTTTAGACTCATGTTTAGAAAATATTAGTCTAAGGTTTTAATTATGTAGTCAGCCAAGAGACTTTACGTTCTGCTAATTGTCTTAATTACTTTGATTAAAACCCAGGCATGATGTTGAATAAATCCAACGATTTAAAGCGTCTTTGTGGTCGCCTATTAAATTTGCGGAGGCAATAAATGAAAGAGATATTATTTCGTTTTTTAAAAAAAAAACATCCGAGTTTTTGTATCAAAAATAAAGAATGCATCTAGTACTACGGATAGGATAACAAAGATCTTCGCACTAAGAATAAAATAGTACCTCGATCGTTTAACGTCTGCTCCCACAACAGTGATATCTCAGACAAATATAACTAAGAGCATTATTTTGAAAATATCTTGCAGGGTAGAGTGTCTAAAATGGCATAAATCTGTCGATGGTTTCAAATTTGAACAACTCCTGGTGAGAGTAGCGTGACCAAACCGACTGAAAAACATATAATTACTTTATTTGTTTAACTTACCTTACCTTATGGAAAAAAACCTATACAATCAATGACACTTCAATAAATGTCGCCATTTTAGAAACCCACGTATGTTTTGATAAAGCTGGGACGCATAAACCAGCTTATTTACACTTCCAGGGTGGAATCTGATGAAGATACACGACCTTACATCCAAACCAGACTACAATAACTATTATTATAAAAACACGCAAATTATTTTTTATCATAAAATTACATCATATCATGTATTATCTGAACTCGATTTTCCTATCAAATCTAGACATTCATTTTTTTTCTATTATTACTAGATAACTATCTTACTCTGTGATTAGATAAAATGTATGTATTTAAATAACACATTTTCTAAATGCACCGCAATTTGATTTATTTGTTTAGCTGATACATTAAAAAAAATCTACGTTATTCATGGTTGATTTTCATATACAATTGCTTTGAGAGGAGAAAATATTAATTTTACTGTTCATACCCAAATTATACCTTGGATTATTTTTCAAAACATGGCATGTACATTCGACATGTTATCTGTTTTAGAATATGAGAAAATCGTGTAGCCTTTTCCAGAACATTATGATCGATTAAGGCAAGTTATTTAAGAGATAAAATCAATACCGAAGCGAAAATGGAAATTGATTCGAAGAGAAATTGTATAAGAGTATATAGATACGAAGGTAGATATCCTCCTGGCTTTAAGACAACTTTCAATAGTATTATATCACCTTCAACAATGCGACTTATCTTAACGATATAGTATAATCTTACAGTGTAGTGTGTATATAACTGACGTAGGTGTCTTTAAATCCCAACTACTGTTCTCTTCTAAACCCTTTAAACCTACACTGATTATATATACGATGGTGTTTTCTGAGAGTATATTCTACTTCCTGAGAGTATACATTCTATTTTCTGAGAGCATAGATTTTAAACATACATTATGCCCGAGTGCAGGTCTTTCTTAAGGCCTGAAATGTTATATAAACTATTAATTAGACATTTATTAACATGAAAAGGCATTAATCAACTCTCGATGCCATCTTATGTGGTGTCGAATTTTCACTGGATTTTAATCCGATCTGCTGTTAACGCTCATTGATGATTAAATCCAAAACTGGTTAATCGGGGCTATGTTTTTTATCGTACCGACTTTAGTAATGATGATCGAGGCTAGGCATACAATTCAATCGGTTATAACTCGGTTCAGAGTGGAGCAATTTGCCTGCAATTTTCGGCATATTATCTAGTTTTTAACTTTAATAGTGAGAACTGTCACTTATTTATATAATCTTCAATAATGCCCCTTTAATTTCTGAGAGATGTTATAAAAGCAATTACCTTACATGTTAGCTATCTTATCACCCAGATAATCCGATCAAATAGTAAAGACAATATTGAAGGCTGGGCAACATTGTTTGGGCGGCATTTTCCCCTTTGTATTTGCAACCACTGAGATATTTAAAATAAATTGACTCGTATGATTGCATGGAGGGTATTCCTTATTAGGATATCGAACGTGAAACGTCAGTGTAGGTGACCAACACACCGGAAGTTATGCACAAATTCCGAGTCTCCACAATGACGAAATGATATGCTTTAACCCTGGAAATCTAAACAAAAACTCATTCATCATCTGTATTTAGAATTTTTGTAATTTGTAAATCGACGACTGATAGATTCCAATTTGTGTTACAGAAATAGAGACAAATTATCCGGTCTTCTCAATTTTCTCGTTTTTTACTGATGACCGCCGAAGATTATATTTTATTTATTTCCAAGGTGAACTCGTATTTCAACGCTGATAACATTCCCTCTTATTTTTAAACCGGTTCTTAGTGTTATTTTGGTTAGGTAAATGACTGCGTAAACGATGTTCTTGTGGTTTTGTATCAGATTTTTGCAATCTGGTCATCAGGATATCGCGAAAATAGCGTAAACCCCATCCTCTCTATAAGAACTTTTATTCGGCAGTGGGAGCCGCGATGGCTCAGTGAGTAAGACATTGGCTCGCTAACCTGGGGGTCTCGTGTTCGATCCCTGTGTTGGCTGAGAAAGTTCACCGGGATTTTACGGTGTGTTGCTTCCTTGTCAGTGATGTAGGACGGAGGGCCTGGCAAGGGACAACGTATAGATGTTCGGATGGGGCGAAAAACCGAGGTCCCGTGTACACATTGGCGGGCACTGAAATGAACCCTTGACAGATGAAATTCGAAATAAGAGTAGGTCGTAGCGCCGCTGTCACAGCAAAATTTCCCTCATAGCATACTGCGTGGCGTATGCCCGTCTTCATTAACCCAGTTCGGAGCAGAACAATAGGATGTTAAACCACATTTCATTTCATTTATTCGGCAGCTTTCTGGTTATCCATAAGAAATCGATTATGTATTGGAAACTGCAAGAAATCCAGAAATAAAAGATTAGCCCAATTTATATGGACAATAACCCTACCCGACCAAGTTACACAAGTTACGAAATAAGCAATACAAAAAAAAACCTCTCACCGATGTCCCTGCAAAATATTAAAATCTGTTTCGTGAAAACATATTACATGTACACGTACCATGTGCAGAAACATTCCAAAACACAGTCAATGAACATTGGTGTAAGCCACAAGGTATCTATCATATGTATTAAAAAAATATATATTATAACAACACAGGTGTCTGTATTATTAAAGTAAATATCATTTCAATGTTTTTATTGTATCCAGTGATAGCGATCATTTTACGCAAGGTATATTTTCAGCTAATAATTGTGGCTCGCCTTTTCGCATCATAACCATAAACTGAATGTTTTTTGTATCCTTTGTCGATAAATAACTAGATGGATATATGGACTGAATTGTATATATTTCTATTTAACTTCATATATCATATACATCCACATATATTAGCCACCAAATGGTCTGATACAAACTTTCGGGAGCAGACGGTGTTCCCTTTAAGCATCACAGTTTATACAGTCGTGGAAAAAAACTTCTTTTTTAAAGCAAAAAATAAGCTTCTAAATTTTATAGAAAGTATTCTTTTTTATCGTATTAATGAGGTAGAAAATAGAATTAATTCATAATTTAAAAGGGCTTAACGTGAGAGTTTTTCTTGGTTTCACATTTTTGGGAGTCACTAAACGCTGTACACAACGTGAGTATCAACTAATTGCGTGGGCTGTCCTCTTTGTTCGCAAGTGTAAGCAAGTGTCCTTAAGGCAGATAAACGTATTTAAAACTAACGCTTTTCAAGGTAATATAGTGATGGCTAATCACACCCGTAACTTGCTGGTCAACGTGCTCTTTGTTCCAATATTGAGCTGACGCCTTCAAGCAAAGGTACAGATTGGGTTTAATCGGGGCTTGGGGGCGACTTGAGTATAAACTCGCAGATGGTAAGCCTGATCGTTCACGTTATTGATGTTGTGAGTCCGCTATTGAAGATTAAATGACCGCAGCTTTATTTAGCCTCACACCTTCAAAGATAAACAACGAGTCATCAATACAATGCTGGATCCACTCACCAGGTGTCATTCTTTATTTAAGGTACTAAGAATATCTACCTATCATTATAGATAAGATTAGTAAATGTATTGTATTTATCCACGTCATTAATAAAGAGTTTAACGGAGACTTTCAAAGGCTTCAACGACTTGTGAGCGATGTAGCAATATA